CCCAACGGACCCAACAAGAGCTTTTCATCTCTCCCTTAACTGCCTAAAAGAATTCAGATCAGGGGCCTGGTCCAGGAAGAGAACTATCCCCAGAAAGAGCTACAAAGAGTATGGTCTAGGTGTGGTAAACTGTGGGGGAGCTCACCAGAGTCTGTTTGTTCAAACTCCTCTCTGTACCCCATTGTCTTTGCATGGCCTGGTAACCATTTGTCTACCAAACACTTGCTCCTCCCATTTTCTGGTGAATTGTTTCCTTCCCTTTGAAGCCCCAGGCCCCTACCTCTTTCTCCTTAGCTCCGGATGGCACAAAGACAATTTCCTGATTGTCTTTGAGCCTCTCATGTCTACATGAGGCTCCTGTACACACAAAATCAAATTTGTTTTTCTCCTGTTGATCTGTCTTATGTTGATTTAATTGTTGGACCAGCCAAAAGAACCTTGAACAGTGGAGGAAAATTTTTCCCTCCCCTACAACACAGGCATAACTCCTGTAAGCCTGCTGTTCAAGACTGGGGAGGTCGCAGCTCTCACCAGACTAGCATCTCTTCAGGCAAACTTAGCTATGGGTTAATGTGCACATGAGATAAAGGCTGTTGCTAGGGAACATCTTGGAAACCAAAGCTGCTAAATTGGTGGGTATTGGTCGAGGACTTAAAATTTACTGGAACATGCACTGGCTGACTCAAAGACTCCCGTGTTGCGAAAAGTTGGTCACAGAACGGATCAGATTGACACTACACCACCCATCAACCTCAAGAAAATTTCCACGCAATCAGGTACTCTGTAAAACATCACGTAATCCCCACTGCAGTGGCTCATCCCTCTTAGGTATTAATTTGGTCCTGAGAGACCCAAGGTTTAGCTAAAGCTGTTCATGTGTGTATAAGAAAAAATTAGATGAGATTTTCCTTTCATCTTGTTTTATGTCTTGAGAGCTTGGCTTTGTGACCAGTGAGAATATTCTGTCTGGTCTCCACCACCCAGAAGGTGCATTTCCTGGCATGCATCTTGGTGGCCTGTCAAATAGACTAGGGTTCTGAGACACGAAGTCACAAGCAGCCCTCTCTTTGTTTGATTACTTCAGCTCTCAGGGGAGTTTATCACAAGGAATCTAAGCCCATAAGGGGCTTTTGTCATCTCAACCTTTTTCTGTTAGTGCTAGAGAAGTCCCATTCCAGCGTCCTGCCCAGCGTCACAGATTGGTGGGTCTGTGGCTGGAGGTGTTTCACGTTCTCATGGGAAACTGGAGACGCTGTTTTCACTACACCATTCTTGCCACCTGTAACAGCAAAGGGCTTTACTTTCTTAGCCTATCTTTGGGAGTGAATTTCCTGGATCTTGTGAGGGCTGCATGTTTTGCACTCTCTTGTGGGGACACCTCTTGTGTTCTTGGTTAAACCATAAAAAACAAACAAACAAAAACAAAAACAAAACCTTAGGGGTTTGAGTCACTATTCAGATGAATAGATCCTACTCTTTGATGATGGATCTTTTGAACGGGAAAAACTTATGTATCTGAAAAAAAATTTTTTTCAGAGAGCTCTCATCCTAAATAATTGTCTTGTTGGTACCCAGGGAAAAGCAAACTTAAAAAGTGGATACAAAGAAATACAGTTGACCCTTCAACCAACCAAGCATGGATCATGCATTATTGCAGTCTTGCAGTATTTACTGTTGAAAAAACTCACGTATAAGTAGACCTACTCAGTTCAAACCTATGTTGTTTAAGGGTCAATTGCATAATGGCTGGTCTTAGGGACTCCCTTAATAAAGCAAAAGAACAGAGATTAGACTTAGAACAAAATTAGAGTCCACATCCTACATAAATTCCTTTTCTTATAATCTTATCCTAACTCAGGAAATTCCCTTAACTCCAAAAATTCCTCCACCTTTCCTGGAAAGTCCCTTGAAGACCCAACTGCCTGTTTTAGCCTCCTTTTCCCTACAGGATTTGCAGAGAGCACTTCAGCCTAATCTCCAGGCCTGGGATGCACAGGTGACCCGTGTAAATGCTGCAAGTCAGCAGGAGCACCAGGGAGGGGTGATACAGCTCATATTCTGGGCTCTATAATCAGGCTCTGTCTTCCTGTACAATGTCCTTTGCAGATACAGCTTAGATCCCCACTCAGAGAATTTATGTCCCCTGGACAGCAGCAGATTATTTAAATTATCAAACCCTTTACCTCCACTTTCAGAAGATCCTACCAAATTTAAAGATATATTTAATAGATTAATGGGCATTCACAACCCCACTCTTAGCGATCTTGTTTGGCTGCTAAGGGGTGTCCTTCCCACCCATGGTTATATGGCATTCTGGCTTATCAGATAAACCAGACCACCCCCTTGGGGGAAAAACCCGCACAGAGGACACAGATGGCCAGAGAGTCTCCTAGGACTTCTTGTAAATAACGGGGAAATGTCTAGGCAGGAGGTTCATATTCAGAGGCCAACAGAGGCATTCATACAGGCTTCCCCCACTAAGGTGAGTGAAGTGGTCTAAGATTAAATTTTGCACTGAGAACGAAGGCCTTTGTTGAATACTTTATATAGGATTTTAAAAGCCATACTACACTAAACCCCGAAATTCCAGTTCTGCCTTAGTAGAAATTTTAAAATCTTTAAAAATCTTTACATTTCTGCCTTAGTGGGAAAGCTCCTCCTGATACAAAAAGGCAAATTCAAAATAATGGAATTAGATGGGCTAATCAACCTCTAAGGGTTACCAGGGAAAAGGCTACCCAATTCTTTGAAAGATTCATTGTAAAAAGCTAGGGAAAAATGAATGATGCAAGAGGTTCCTAAAGCAAAAGAATGGAAGAGTAAATAACTCCTGCTGGTCTCTTCTGCACTCCTTTGAGTTCTCAGTCAGTTGTAAAAGAGAGCTCTATTTAATTGGCTTAAAGACAATTAAACACTTATATAAATTAAATCCTCAGAAATATAATAGAAAGTAACCCAAATCGATTTCAGGTTCACATGACCTAGGGAAATATTTGGTTATTAAAGCTAGTTTAAGTTTGCTGGCTCAAATTAAAACAGGCATGTCTTTAGAGTTATCAGTGTTAAATAGAATGCCTTTATTCTACCTAGGTTTGCTAAAGTTAGATAAGTTCATGTTGTCTCTTACAAAATTTTTCAGCAAGAAAAACAGCTTGAGATGATGGCTGGCTTTGTCTAATGTCTATGTTTTCATACATTTGCCAATGTGTAGAATGCTGGTATAACAGTTCACAATTATTTATTTCTTTGTGTCTATTAAAAATTAAAGGTTCTTTTTTAAATGGAGGTATTGGGGATTGAATCCAGGGTCTTGTGCATGCTAAGCATTCACTCTACCACTGAGCTATATCCACCCCCTCCAAATTAAGGTTTTTAAAGGTAAAAATTCTGATATATGTCGTTGAAGCTACTACACATAGTAAGGGAAACATCTTTATACATTAGGAAAGTAGGATATGTGTTTTGGTAAAAGAAAGTGAGAGGAATGGAAATGCAGTTTGTTGAGGGAAAAGAAAGTAGTTTTGTCCTGAAGAGAGGCTGGTTATTTCAGAATGGGAAAGAGAAAGAACATAGGACGAAAAATCTGAATGTAAAAACGAAATTGTAGAAGCTTTGTGAAAAAAGACACTTTAGAAAGAAATTTTATGTGTGGTCTAGCTGGTTAAGATTGAAATGAATTTAAGTTTTTAAAAATGAATAAATTTTAATATCAAAAGTACACTGATTAAAAAATTAGAATTTGATTCTCTCTCTGTTAAAAGGACAAAGTTCTATTAGATTATCGGTCTGCTCTTAATTCCAAAGATTTAAACAAAGTGTTTTTTCTTTATCTTTTTAGTAATCTGCCTAGAAAACAAAGATTTTATGTTTTATTAAAATAATTTCCTATGCTTTACGTTATCATTAGGAATTTGGTTACTTAAATAAACTGGGTCTTTTCAATATTGAACTGAGTTTTGCTCAGAATTATGTAATCTATATTTACCCTAAAAATCTTTTTGTCACTTTGGGTAAATGACTAATTAGCACTTTTTCATAATTATTTGTGATCCTATTTAGTAAAGTGTCCAAACCTTTGTGATATTTTTGACAAACTTTCAAAAATTCAAATTCTAAGTGAAGTCTTTTTTACCTTGAATGAAACCAAGATTTTCTAGAAGGATCCTGGAATATCTCAAAAGATTCGTTCTCTCTCCTTATAAAAGAGAGATAAAACTAATTTGGCTTATCTGGTGTATTAAATTATATGGAAATCATTGTCAAATAGGGAATGATAAACCTTCTAAGGTTATATTGTACAGATGAATGTTGGTAACATGGGTGTTCTAGAAGTTGTATAAAGTCCCTAAAATTCTGATATGTCATTATAATGTTATCAGTCATAATTCTAATTATTATCTTAAAATGTTGTATGTCACAGAAATAATGAAATTGCCTGTCAGTTGCACTGTAATGAACTCTAATCAGATATTTAACCGTGTCATTTTAAAGTCTTTTATTTATGGACAGTTATTGTTTTATTCTGATGCTTTTGCAAAAGTGTTCCTGCAAAAGTGTTTCATCAGAAAGATTCATGGAAAGGACTCTGACAAGTACTCTAGAATACAGGTTTCTGATAACTTTAAAATCATCAAACTGAATGGGGTAAGAATTTCCAGAATTAATGGAAAAACTGGATTCAAAACAAATATGAATTACATGGGACTGAATGAACTGAGGAAGATGGTTATAATTTTTATGACTTTTTTGTTTAAAACATTGCTGATTTTTAAATTGTTTTGTTTTTCTCAGATTAAGGAAAACTTTTTCTCTTTTCTCCAAAGATATCTGTGACTTAGAGCAATTTAGTGCAATATACCTTTGTGAACAAAGATGAAACATTTCTCCTTTTCTCCCTACCTGATCCATCCAGAATTCAGAAACTCACAGTGAGTATGCCTATTTCACAGCAATATAGTTATTTGCATAAGTTCGCTAAGAATCTGTTCTCCTTATAACAAGACACAATTGGAAACAGTGACTATATTACCAAGGCTTTGATGGGAACGTCCTACTTGAGTACATGCAAAGAATCACATATGACCAGACAGCTTTAAGGAACTAAGACTGACTTAATGGAACCAATAAAGCACCTTGGAAAAACAGCCTGATACCTTACTTACACGGTTCCCAGCAGCCTTACCAGGTGCGAAAGGAAGGTCACTTCCTGGCAGGGGCAGGAACCTCAGAACAGTCTAAGGACCCTAAAAAGAGAGGAATTATCCCAAATCTGTAAGTGCAGCAAGGAAAGTCTGATGGTAAGTCCTTGACTTGACTTCCTAGCCTTGAGAGGCTTTTAAAAATCCAGTCTGAGATTCCTCATTAAAAAACCCAACAAACAGATTAAAAGATTATATGCGATTAATCACTATGTTTGCTACCCTTTTGCAAATAATCAAGCCATGTTTTTTGAAACTAGACTTAACTTGCAAATAAATTCACCTACTATGGTTATCTGTGATAGAAATGTGGTGACTGTAGAGAGAAAAGTTGTGTTTCAGTAGACACCGTAATACATACATGTGGATATTAGATTCTAGTTCTGTGAGCTGACTTTGAGATTTTGTTTTCTACCTGTAAACAACCTGTACCTGGACTAGATCTTAAACTTGTCCAGTTTCCTCCAATATTTGGCTATTGTCCACAGGAACACTTCCTATTTTCCCCCCTCACCCTTCTGCCTTGGAAAAATTGAAAACTAAAACTGCCCTTTTCCTTAAAGCCATGGAAACTAAAGTTGGACAATTTGATACAAAATCCGCAACAGCTCGTGCATGGACAATCTTCACGCCTGTTGCTGCAGGGTCACTCAGAAAAAGCACCAGAGACATTCAAACTACAAACCAAGAAAACCTGTCAGATTGCCATGGCCTGCCTCCACTCCATCTGAAGATTCTCTGAGCCCAACATCTAGAAATCTTCCAACTGGCTGCCTTCAGACCTCAGAAACTGGGACTGTCATCTGCTCCAGTCATTAACCATTGTTTTCCCTTTGTTTCCATAGAAATGCCTTATTAAATACCTAATTTCTCATGCAATATAGGCCTAACTTGGGGAGACCGGCTGCATCGCCACCTCCTAAAAATGAGACGCAACTGTTCAACTGAAGTGACCTATTTTTAAGACTATGAGATTAATTCAATGAAATAATGAAACAGTCAGCCAGCTCTGCTTTTCATGTGTGGAACTTCCAGGGAATTTTCGGAGCAGGGGGCTGATGGGGTTCAGGACAGGTTGCCCCAGGGTGTGTGCGCCACTTTGGCATGTAGATTATTTCACGCTGAAGACAATCAATGCCCAATGGGCCCAACAAGAGCTTTTCATCTCTCCCTTAACTGCCTAAAAGAATTCAGATCAGGGGCCTGGTCCAGGAAGAGAACTAACCCCCCAGAGACAACTACAAAGAGTATGGTCTAGGTGTGGTAAACTGTGGGGGAGCTCACCAGAGTCTGTTTGTTCAAACTCCTCTCTGTACCCCATTGTCTTTGCATGGCCTGGCAACCATTTGCCTACCAAACACTTGCTCCTCCCATTTTCCTGTGACTTGTCTTCCCTCCCTTTTGAAGCCCCAGATGCCCGCCCGCTTCTCCTTAGGTCCGGATGGCACATAGACCTCAACTGCCTGACTGTCTTTGAGCCTCTCATGTCTGCATGAGGCTCCTGTACACAAAAAATCAAATTTGTTTTTCTCCTGTTGCTCTGTCTTATGTTGATTTAATTATTGGACTAGCCAAAAGAACCTCGAACGGTAGAGGACATTTTTTTGCCCCCCTCTACTCTTATGAAGTGAGACTGACATTTATCATATGACCCAGCAATTACAGTCCTGGGTATTTACCCAAGAGAAAGGAAAGCACACATCTATACGAAGACCCGGACACAAATGGTCACAGAAGCTTTATTTATTGTAACTAAATATGGGAAGCAACCCAAATGTTCATCAATAGGCAAATGAATCAGCACATTGTGGCACAGCCAGACCATGGAATACTGCTTGACAATAAAAAGGAATGAATTTCTGAAGCACACAAAAATGTGGCCAAATCTCAGAATATTCTGCTGAGCAAAAAAAGCCAGACACACACACAAAAAATAGAACATTCCGTATGATTCCATTTATATAAAAGTCTAGGAAATGCAGACTAATCTACACTGACAGAAAACAGGTCAATGGGTGTCTGGGGATGGGGGTGGGGTGGGGTAGGAAGGAAGAATTACAAGGGGGTACAGGAAACTTTTGGGGTGCCGATGTGTTCACTATCTTGCTTGTGGTGATGGCTTCGTAGAGGTACACACATGTCAAAACTCACCAAATTGTGCACTTTCAAGTACGTACAGTTTATTGTATGTTAATTATGTCTCAATAGAGCTGTAGGTTAAAAAAAACCCCAAAACTCAAACTGTAGACTTGAAAAGTTGAACCATGTACTTTATTAAGAGGATGAGTTGAATTGTGCAGAATTGTATGATTATTAGGTAAATTATTCCTCAATAAATCTGACTCGAAAAAAATAAGATTGCAACTGGTCGATAAATAAATCCTGGAGATCTGATGCACAGCAGAGTGAGCACAAACAATACTGAGTTAGAAATTGCAAAGCTGCTAAGAGGCTGGATCTTAATTTTTCCCACCACAAAAAAAGAAACAATAATAAAAGTGACATGATGGAAGTGTTAGTGACAATTACACTACAACATATAAATCTATCAAATCATCACCTGGTACACCTTAACTTACACAATATTATGTGTCAACTACATGCCAATGTAAAAAATCGATGGACAGATAGGTCACAAAGCAAACTGAATGAAAATCCTCCAATGAATCAAAGGGTGGGGTGGGACAGTCACTGTACAGTCCTTTTGATTTTTCTGTATGTTTGAAACATTTTATATCAACGTTGAGTAAAAAGGGGCTAAAAGAACACTTTCTCTACTCACAGTACTTCTGACACCAAATACGCGTAGGTTCCCTCCCTCTCCCAACCAGGTCTCCAACTCTCCAGACACCAGCTGGCTGTCCAACCATTCAGTTCAATTCTGACACTAATTACCCAGGGTAAGGGCAGACCCCGCAGGTTAAAGGCTCAGTCCCACAAGGCTGGCGCGACATCAGACGCCAATCACAAGTCCCAAGCTGTCACCTGTATTTCCGACAACCGGCTGTAAATCAGGGGGTTCCCGAGACCCCCTCCTCAGGTTTGATAATATACCATGGTGGCTCCCAGAACTCAGGGAAACACTTCACTTATGTTTATCGTTTATTACAAAGGATGCAGATGAATAGCAAGATGAAAGAGGTCTGGAGGGCAGGAGCTTCTGTCCCAGGAAGTTGGGGTGAGCCATCCTCCCTGCATGTGAATACATCCACCAACACAAAAGCCGTCTGAACCTCTTTGATTTAAGATTTCATGGAGGTTCCATTACATAAGCATGATTGGTTCCATCACTGGCCATTCCTGATTGACTTAATTTGCATCTCCTCTTCCAGGAGGTGGGGGTGCAGGGTGGGTAGGCTGAACCTTCCAGCCCTCTAATCACATGGTTGGTTCCTTTGGCAACCAGCCTCTATTCTGAAGATCTCTAGGGGAGCAACAGCATCACCTTATTAGCATAAACTCAGCTGTGGTTGAAAGGGACTTGTTATGGATAATGAAACTCGTTGCTACTCACCTGGCTTCTTGGTCTCCTTAATCAATAGAAATTGATAACAGGCCAGAGGAGCAATCCAAGCCAGGCTTTACTGAGACTCGCGCTGCAGCAGGAGGGAGAGAAAACAAGTTTCAGGTTCCCCGGCTTGCTCCCTGAGGGAGTGTGAGTTGCTCCCTTAAATGGGGTGAGAGTAGGAAATCTCAGGTCTCCCAGACTCTGCTCTGAGCCTCGTGCTGGGTAGAGAGGGGGCAGGGCACCTGGGACCTGGATCCTCCACCTCAGACCTGAGGTGGGACCAGGTCACCCTCAACACACTGGGAGCTCACCTGAGGGGGATGCAGGGACTTCATCAGTCCAGGGGGATCCTCAACTGGTTCCCAGAAAATGGGCTGCAAGTCGCATTCTTCGGAATCACGCCTGGTTTTTGTTTTCATGAAAATAACAGGCTCAGAATGGAAAACCTGGCGATTACAAAAAAGGAGGAAGAGGAGAGGGCAGTCTTCATGCAGGGCCCCCGGAACCCTTAAACGTGCGCCCTCTTCCTCCTCAACTTTCACTTCTTGGAATCTCCCTAGAGACGTACTTGAACCTGAACCCGCGGCAGGATGCGCAAGGATGTTCACCGCGCTGTGTATCACAGCAAAAGCCCTGGAAACGACCCACGTGCCACCAATAAGGGACTCGTCAAATAAACTGGGAGTCCGCGCTTCTATGAGATGCGAGGCAGCCGATTAAACTCCCAAGGCGGTGCTTCTGACAGAATAAATTTTCTGAAGCCTATGAAGTGATAAAGGCAGATTGCAGAACGATTCATACAATATACAAGGTTTAGGTGGAAAAAAACTTACAGAAGTCTGTATTTATAAAGGTTTAAATATGTGGGAAATACATAGGGGGAGAAAAAAACCCTATGAGGTGACACATCTGACAGACAAAGTTGGTCCCCAGGGAGAGGCGTCCAGTGGCCGAGGGGCTTTTCCTATAAAGTTGAAGCAGCAAGATTAATCCACCAAGAAACAACCAGGAGTAGCTGTCTGACGTGTTTATTTCCAGGTTTTGTCTTTGTAAAATTGTGTTGTTAGCATCCTGTTTTCGCCTCCTAATTTCATATATGTATATTTTTCATCTGTATAATTTTACATATACATTTTATATATTTATAGTAATGAATATTTTATATTTATATATAAAATTTACATTTATGTTATATATATGTTCATTTCCTTCTGTGCGTATGTAAAATCCTCCATGCCTCTATGTTATGTATGTGTCTGTATATACATATAAAATCTTCTCTGTGTATGTATGTGTGTGTGTGTATATATCTATATTTCCCTCTGTATGTAACACGGGATTTTATGTATATACATTCACAGAGGGAATGGTATTGCATATGTCATTTTTCTACGCAGCTCTTTTTGGTGGGTAATTAGGTTTATTTATTTATTTACTTTCAATTTAGCGGAGGTGCCGGGTATTGAACCCAGGACCTCATGCTTTCCAAGCGTGCGTTCTACCACTGAGCGACACCCTCCCCGCCACTGCCCCCCACCCCCTGCATATGTCATTTTATATCTTGCTGTTTTACAGATGGTTTTAAACACAAACATTCGCCATGGTGCTTCAGGCTTTTCTTAAACATAACTCTTAATGGCTGCCCGAGTTTCTATGGGCGGATTATGATTTACTTCCCCAGTTCCCTGTGGTTAGATGTTGAGTTCCTTGCCAAGTTTTCTGTGGGATAATTGTGTTTGTGCCCAGCGCCATTTCTGCATTTTGGATTAGTTCCACCATCTCCGGAACTAAATTCCTGACCAGTCAGGGGAAGCAAACACTCTGCTCTGAAAATGATTTGCTTTCTTTGTGGGCACTGAAAAAAATCGCATCCATGTTTGTGTAGAGAGTTTGGAAACTATAGATAACCAAAAGATGAAAAGAAAAACCGTGGGCATAACTTAGGAGTTCAAGATTTGCAGATACTAACTACAGTATATGAAATAGATAGAGAGTTTCTACTGTATAGCACAGAGAACTTCATTCAATATCTTGAAGTAACCTATAATGAAAAAGAATATGAAAAGGAATATATGTATATGTATGACTGAATCACTATGCCGTACACCAGAAACCGACACAACATTGTAAACTGACTAGACTCCAATTGAAAAATAAATTAATAAAATTTTAAAAAAGAGAGAAGCCATGGTGATTCTGCCCCCGGTTATTTGTTACGGATTCTTCCAATAATTTAAAGTTATGAATAGTTTTCTTCCATTTCTTGTTGAGAGTACATCACACAGCACTTCCGCCTTCTGCTTATTTTTACTTAAGATATCATAAAAACATGTTCCCCGTTCATTTAAAATGATTGCCTAATATTCCATAATGTTGCCATTCCGTAATTTACAGAGCCTTTCCTCTAAAGCTTATTGCTGTAAATGTATAAAACTTATTATTACAAATATTTGTTGTATCCAGTTGTTTTTTACTGATACAAATAATGCAACAGAGAACATCTTTGTGCATAAACTTTTGTGCAGATCTTCTGGGATTTCCTTACAATAGAGTCCCGGAAATGGAATTACTGGGTAAGAGTGCCAAGTCAGTTTCTAGAAAGGTTAAAATAATTTCCACCTGCTCACAGAAAGCACAGAAGGGCAGAGTTTGTCTCACCGCATCCTCGTTATTACCAAATGTTATCATTTTATTAGAGCTTTACTATTGGTCAGTGACAAGTTGAATTTCACTTTCATTTCTTTATATTTATTTATTTATTTATATTTTTGAGGGGGAGGTAAAATTAGGTTTTTATTTACTTGAAGGCGGCTACTGAGGAATTGAACCCAGGACTTCGTGCATGCTAAGCACACGCTCTACCACTGAGCTATACCCTCCCCCCATCACTTTTTCTACACTCATTCATTGCATCAGTATTTATTGAACACTTGCTGCTTAGCTGGCACAGTTCTAGGCACTGGAGATGCAGCAATGAACAAAACAGACTTGTTCCAGTGCATGAAGGGGCGCAAGATAGACAGTAATCAAGTAAATCAATAAGTGGATGGATCATATCAGAGAGCAATATGTACTTTTTAAAAAATTGATGTATAGCCGATTTACAATGTGGTGTTAATGTCTGGCGTACAGCAGAGTGATTCAGTCATACACATATATGTTCCTTTTCCTATTGCTTTTCATTCTAGGCTGTTACAAGATACTGAATATAGTTCCCTGTGCTCCACAGCAGGACCCTGCTGTCGTACTATTAAGAGAGTTAGCAATGAGGATAAATGCTTTTCGTTTACCACAACTATGGCAAAAACAACAGTGGTATCATGTATTCAACATCTGCTCTGTGACAACTATTCTACTAAATGCTTTACTCTTTATCTCAGGCAATTTTGCCCCGTAGGTATCTCATTTCATAGCTGTACAAATGAAGGGTCACAGAGGTCAAGTAACTTGCCCAAAGCCACACAACCTTGGTGGCACAGCTGGGATTCAAAGGCAGACAGCCCATGCTCTTAACCACCAGGCAATTTTGTTTCTAAAAAATCTGAGACACTAATTAGTTATCTTATTTGATAATTTGCTTTCCTGGCAACAAACTTTTTAAGTTTTTATTGAACTACAAATTACCTATATAAGAGAATGCATTTCAGAAGTAGACAGCTTGGTGAATTAATTCCAAGTGGACAAACCAGTTAGCTAGCACCAGATTTTTAAAAAACAAAACAAACAAAACAAAACGCGAGCCCTTGTGTCCCTGGTCCCTACCCTGCAAAGTAATTATGCCTGTGACTTCTCATATCTGCGAATCATATTAACTGCCAGTTCTGAATTCCTGAAAGGCATACCTAATGAGATGCCTTTGTCAAACCAACACCGTCTTCTTTTCCCTTTATATTAAAGGTACAGTAAAACCCACAACTTTTCATTCTCTGCATTCAGGGTGCAGACTCTGCCTCATTTCAATTAATAACAGACGTGAAAGACACAAACACAAAGCCAGAAGGTGATCCGGGTGTAGGCCCCTGACTGTGGGAACAAAGGACCGAGCCTTGGGCTGGAATGGTAAACAAGTTATAAAAGGCTGCAGACTCAGAGGTGAGAAGGCTGGCTAGCCAAGGATGGGTAAGATCCCCAGAGGGGGGCGACCTAAGACAGGCACAGCCGCCTGAGTCCAAGAAGAATGTTGTGAAGCAGCCGTTTCGCGTATGTTCCGCCCTGATAAGCTGTAAGGCTCGCTGGTGCCAACACGAACATGATTTACCAAAACATAAAGGATCTTCTGACCTTGAGCCAGACACTGCCTGTTAACCACTTCCCTTGTCATTCTTCTTTGCTATATAAGACTGTGTAACTTAATAAAGCTTCAGAGTAGCCATAAGCTCTCTCCGCCTACGGTGCGTATGTGTACGTGGTATCGCGACACCAACAACGGGGACAACTGGATGGATATTGAAAGGGCATCGAAGTCCCGGGGAACAGAGCAGTATGGTCCCCTGGGCGTTGTGAGGGGTGTCACTGGCCAGTGGGGAACATTTCAGCTACAGCTTTGAAAGCTGAGTTGAGTGTCACAGACAAACAGGGCTCTATGATAATTAGTCATTTGCCACTGTGAATTATGGACCCTAGATTACAGCAGGCAGCCTCCAAGATGGCACCCCAGAATCCCTACACAATTACATTTAAGTGACTGAGTGACCGGAGGCAACCATAGTGCATAGAGGAGTGTTAGGGCGCTAATGAGCCCACCTAAGGGTCTTCTGACACACCAGGGATGGAGAGGCAAAATTTTGTCTGTAAGAGGCCAGATAAATATTTTAGGATTTGCAGCCATGTGGTCTGCGTCACCACCACCCAACCCTACTGCTATAGAGCAAGAAAAGCCATAGACAAGAAAGGAATGAGCATGGCTGTGTTGCAATAAAATTTTATTGATAAAAACAGGCAGTGGGCCGAATGTGGCCGGAGGGCTGCAATTTGCCAACCCCTATTCTAGCGGAAGGTTCCTTTGTCTGACTTACTCTTTATTACTGAGTGAGAGTTCCCATCTGTAAAGTTAGATGTTGACTTGTTTTAAATTAATACATTGAAATGATTGTTTTTCAAGTAGAAAGACCATCCCCAACATTTTTGCCCTTTGAGTCATGAACTGGTTTTGTCTCTAACTCCATTCTCTCCTTCTGGAATTCTCTCTTTCACTATCTCTCATCAGTTTCTCATGTCTGCTCTTAAGCAAGTCTGTCTTTCTGGTTCTCTCATTTTTTTATACATACAAATGGCCAACAAGTACATGAAAAGATGTTCAGCATCACTAATTGTTAGAGAAATGCAAACCAAAACTACAATGAGATACCACCTCACACCAGTCAGAATGGCCATCATTAAAAAGTCTACAAATGATAACTGCTGGAGAGGGTGTGGAGAAAAGGGAACCCTCCTGCTCTGTTGGTGGGCATGGAAACTGGTGCAGCCACTATGGAGAACAGTATAAGTTTCCTTAAAAAACTAAAAATAGACTTACTGTATGATCCAGCAATCCTACTTCTGGGCATATAGCCAGTAAAGACAAAAACTAATTCAAAAAGAAATATGCACCCCAATGGTCACAGAAAGCACTATTTACAATAGCCAAGACATGGAAACAAACCCAAATGTCCATCGACAGATGACTGGATAAAGATGTGATGTATATACACGATGGAATATTATTCAGCCATTAAAAAGAATAAAATAATGCCATTTGCAGCAACATGGATTGTCATTTTAAGTGAAGTAAGCCAGGAAAAGAAAAATGCCATATGATATCACTTATACATGGAATGTTTAAAACAGGACACAAATGAACTTGTTTACAAAACAGAAACAGACTTACAGACATAGAGAACAAACTTATGGTTACCAGAGGGTAAAGGGAGTGGGAAGGGACAAATTGGAAATTTGAAAAATGTCCCTCTTGGGGAGTGATGGAAATGTTAGCTATCTTGATTGTGGTGGTGGTTTCGTGGGTGTGTATATCTATCAAAATTCATCAAATTGTGTATCTATAATGTGTATAGTTTAACGTACAGGAGCCATACCACAATAAAGCTGTTAAATATTGATTGATTGATTGATTGTTGTGGGGGAGGTAATTAGGTTTATTTATTTACTCATTCATTCATTCATTCATTCATTCATTTATTAATGGAGGGACTGGGGATTGAACCCAGGACCTCGTGCCTGGCACATGCTCTCTGGTTCTCTCGTTACTGTATTCCGTGAATCTTTGACATGCGCTTACAATACATTTGTATGGATCATGTTTTTAACTATTTCTCTGAAAATTATACTTTGACATTACCTTCTGAAATGATGTGTAAATACTTGAAAGGAAATTCATACGATTACAAGACAAGCCAATGAAAACACACTTTTAAAAATATTTAAAGGATCTCTCTTTGATACAATACTTTTGCTTCTTGATTAACATACTAAATAACAAAGACTAGCAGCAGGTCTAGTAATCACTGTAATTTCCAAGTGGTG